CCCATGTCCTTCTTTGCAAATTCTTATACACCCTTCAGGTCTTGGATCAGGTATTATTTTCCTTTGGAAATCTTTCTTTGACTTCTTAAATCTGAGTTAGGTGTCCTTCACACATATTCCTATAGTGCTGTACTTGCCTTGTAATTGTTGTTTTGTTGTTCATCATCTGCTCTAAATCAGGTGACTTCTCTCTTTGTGCCCGACTACTATACAGTAGTATAGAATCAGTGGCATTAAAATGGACATTTCAGCACACTAAGAGAGAGAGATGTGTTACAGGGTTTCCCTTGTCTTTTATTCCCTTTTAAACATGGAGTCCAACAGTACTGCAGCAGTATTTCCAGTGCTTTAGTCCCTTTACCTAAAAGTAGGAACTACATCAGTCAGGTGGTTCTGAGCTTTGAAGATATTACACAGCTCTGTGGGGAGCAAACATTAGAGAGGGCTGAATACAGCCAGTAGCTGGGCTCTGCAGAAAATTTCCAGACCACTGCTCTAGCAACTAGTGCAGGGGTATCCCACTTTTCTCCTACAGTTTTATTGTGGGCTGCTAGGTTGTGGCCCTGGGTTGTGGCCAATAAGGAAATTCACTCACAGCTCCCAGGGTTTATTAATCCCATGGAACCTTTCAGAGGCATGCAATCTTGTTTATCTCAAAATCTCTCCCTACATTGATTAGGAATGCATTTTGTACTGTATAGTGAGAGACAGGATGTGTAGTGGTTTGTAGTGAGAATGAACGAGTTAGAGTCTCTGTGCCTTGTTTTCCTCATCTGCAAAGTGAAGATAATAAAGGTGCCTGTCTCACAGGACAGTTGTGAGGACTAAATGAGTTAAACAAATTAATGTAAGTTTATGTAAAGTGCTTAGAGTAGTGCTGTGCACATTTTGCCTCTTACTATACATACTGTAGAATATGTAGGATCAAGCAGAAGGATCCTAAAACAAAAGCATGGCATGTGTTTTTTATTCTTCCTCAGCACAGACACATATAAAAGTATCTAGCGACTGTCTTATCTGGCTCAAGAACGGTGGTCATAAATTTCTTAATGATTTTTGTCCAAAAAATGGTGAGGGAAGTTCAGGGGGTGTTTTCCTGAGGAACCCTCAAACATTTGGCTTTATTGTCTGTTTTCCCTTCTGTGCGTGCACACTCTGAAGATAGAGCCGTGCTTTGACTTCCTTAGTGCTCTGTGCTTAGCTCAAGTAGCTTATCTGGCATACGGAAGAAACGTATTGCATATTTGTTGACTAAGTGAATGAATGAATGTGTTTCTATTGCTGAGGGAGGTTTTCCTAATTTGGTGTTTACCTTTAGATAATGCTAATTCTGATTCTGTAACATTGTAGGTGAAAAGTCTAGAAAGCAAAGAAAGTAGAAAAATTAATGTGGCTTTAAAGTTAAGGCACTTTAAGCTTCTTTAGTTAGAATAGTACTGCTGCAAATGTCCACAAGGCCTATGCCTGTTAGAATATAATACAGTGATATCTTTACTTTTAAAATTTTCATTTCTGATTTCAAATGTAGTACAAGATCATTGTTATTTCCATGAATATTATGCATATTTCAAAAATTAGTGCACATATTTTTTCCAAAGGGTTATTTTTGCCCCTGAAATGTCTAATTATCAAAATTTGATTCCTTCTTAGATTTAATTTTATTACATTTAGAGTTTTAAAACTTTTTTTTTGTTTTTGTTAAAATCTACAGTTTGTAGTTAATTGGATAGAAACATAGGGTTCACTTTAAAGAAATTGTTTGGCTGCATCTTTTAGTTAAACAGAACCAAAGATCAATAGTGCCTCAATATCTAGACTAGAGAAATAGCAAATTACTCTAACGTTTAATTTTTACAATAATTTTAATGGTTAAATATCTAATTTTAAAAACTTGATCAGGAACTAGCATGTACAAGTGGTGATTGAGCACGAAATTAAAATTCATCTTTTAAAACAGTTATACTTATTAATCGTAATGAAACAAAACTGTTAGGCAAACCAGGATTTTTAAACACAAAAGATAATTCACAAATTTGCTTTTGAGTCATAATATACAGCAAGGTTATCATGACTTTCAAATCCCGAGTTTTTCCTGTAAAACCATTGTCTATGTGTTAATAAAATAAAACATATTCAGTGAATATGAGTTACCAGGTTTCCCCCATTATCCAAAAGTAGAGTGTTCCTATGAAACTTTTCGTAAGCTGAAATGGCAATTGTGAAGAAGCAATTACCATAGGACACATCTTGCTAACAGATGCACAAAATACATCAAAATGCAGCACAGATGCTCACAGACACCTTTCAAAGCTATGGGGGCTTGATGCTGAGATGCTGAGTGTGTTCCTGGGGAAGGAGCCTGATGGTGCTGCTCTCCCTGCTCGGGTGTGTGCTGCCTCTGTAAGAGCTCCCTGAGATCACTGAACATTGTTTATGCTCTTCATCTTTGTTTGGAAAAGTAAAAATCCTCTTTGGATTTTTTTCGGTTAGCGAAGACAGATACTAATGTAGGTCTTTTGTAAAAACGAAATGGTGTAAAGCAAACTTTTGAAAAGTGGGGGACTTCTACTCACACCCACCCACCCCAGAATTATAAGAGTACAGCTTGAGGAATTTTCACAAACTGAACATAACCATGTGATAAACACTCAGATCAAGAAATAGAACATTAGGAGTAACACAGAAGCTCCCCATCACATGCTCTTCCAGTCACTGCTACCAACAGAGGTAACCTGTATCCTTACTACTATAGCAGCACCATAGGTTAAGTTTTGCCTATTTTGAGGCTTACATAAATGAAATTATACAATACATACACTTTTGAGTCTAATTTCTTTTGTTCAATGTTACGTTTCTTTTGTTCAATATTATGTATGTGAGATCCAGTCATGTTGTTGCATAATTGCAGTTTATTCACTATAGCACCACAATTATTATCTGTTCTACTACCGCTGGGCAATTTCTAATTGTTGTTGATAGGTAGTTTCCAATTTGGGGCTTTTATAAATAATTCCTCTAGGAACATTTTGTACACATTATTTAGTGAAATTTATATATCTTTCTCTTGGGTATATACCTTGAAATAAAATGTCCATCAGGTTTTAACTCCTCATTCTAATATATAAGTGGACAGCCAATGATTACTAGATATTTGAAGAAATCTTCCAGGATGAAAGAGAAGAGAAAGGAATGAACCCAAAGAATCAAAATGAAAAATGTAATAGAAGAATTTGAAGAAATTTCTAGAAAGCAGAACAGAAAGACAAAAGAGGTAGAAAATAGGAGAGAAAAGTCAAAAGTCTTAAAAGGGAAGAAATTTAAATATAAATTATGAGAAAACTTCCCTAAAACTGAAAGACATGTATTTCTATATGGAAGGGATTCTCAGCACAATAGGTGATAAAAGACTCATAATCAAGGCATATAATTATGTGATAAAACAAAATACATGTTTTATCATAAATGTCACTTCTGTCAAAAAAAAAGGCACATCATTCTGAACACCATGAATAAAGTGAGGATTAAGAGGAAGGAAACAATTCACATTCAAAGGATCAGGAATCAGAATGGCATTGGAGTTTGCAACAGCTACATTGGAAGCTAGAAAACCATGGAACAGTGTCTCAATTCCTGAGGGAAAATTATTAACAACTTAGAATTCTGCATCTAGGGTAACTTTTAATCAAGTATAAGGGTAGAATGAAATCATTTTCAGACATGCAAGGATTGAAAACACTGTCTTCTGTGACCCCTTTCTCAGGAAACTACGGAAGGAATGTGCTCCCAGAAGATACGGATACAGCAAATAAGGACTTACCACAGAGAGGGGGGAAGGGGATTGTCAGGATGAGAGTGAGCAGTTCTGGGATTATAGCCATGCAACAGGCCCAGAGAGCAGCTAGTCCAATTCCAGCAGCAAGATAGAAAGAGGGTCCTGGGAAGGGGGTTTCCAGGATTTTTTTTTCTTTAAGGAAAAAAAAAGGACTTTGATTAATTTTCTGGCATTTGAGTATTTGGAAACTGATAAATATTTTCACTGACCTCATAGAATAAAAGGAAGCATATAAAAGGAAGCATATAAATAGAGTGAACAAGGAATGATATATTTCATAGTGATCATACTCTACTGATTATTATTATATTATTATTGTCACAAATTAATTGACTGTATTGTGAGGATATATGTTTTTGGGGTGGAAGTGAGGAGGTGAGAAATAGTAGTGTAAGAAAGCTAAATTCTCATATACTATATTAGGAGTTCATAGGTGATTTTTTTTTTTTTTTTTAAAGAAGATGTTGGGGGTAGGAGTTTATTAATTAATTAATTTTTGCCGTGTTGAGTCTTCATTTCTGTGCGAGGGCTTTCTCTAGTTGCGGCGAGCGGGGGCCCCTCTTCATCGCGGTGCGCGGTCCTCTCACTGTCGCGGCCTCTCTTGTTCCGGAGCACAGGCTCCAGACGCGCAGGCTCAGTAGCTGTGGCTCACGGGCCTAGTTGCTCGCGGCATGTGGGATCCTCCCAGACTAGGGCTCGAACCCGTGCCCCCTGCATTAGCAGGCAGATTCTCAACCACTGTGCCACCAGGGAAGCCCCATAGGTGATTTTTAAAATCAATAAATTGAAAAATAGCAGTATAAACATATTATTTAGACCTATGTAAGTAAATACCAAGAGAAACAGCTAAAAAAAGATGAAAGCATTTGTTTTTAATGAATGAAATTGGGAGGAGAGGTAAGGTGGGTCAGGGGACTACCTGTTTTTCACTTACTGACCTTTTGGTACTGTTTGATTATTTTTAAATTATAATCAAACATGCATTACTTGATAAAACTAAAAACTAAAACAAATATTAATGACAGGTTCCTTTAAGGAGCATTAGGATTAAAGTGTACTCAGTAAAAGGGAGTCAGGTGTAGAGAAAAAGAAACGTAAATTTAGCTTTTGTTTTAAAAGGGCTTTTAAAATGCTGTTTATTTCTGGTTTTTGTTTTGTTTTATTCTAGGGCTTCAAAAACAAACCAAAAAAGATGGGTCACATAAAGGCAGACTTGATTGATGTTGACTTAATCAGAGGTGAGTTCTAAAGTTGGCTTGTTTCTTAGGTATATCATTATATTATTTCATAGTGGTACTAAAGATTCTTTTTGGATATCTTCCCTATATGATGGTATACTTTAATTTCCCAAAGTAGTGTTCTTCCTGCATCATTCAGGCTTTAGCATTTTTTCCCCTTTGCTTTATACTGTGTGGCTATGTAAATTACATGGTTTCCATGAGGGTGAAAGAGATGAACTTGGAGACTTGCTGCTGTGTAATGAAGAAAAATATATTGTATACCGTTCAAACAAGCCTGACTTATTTTGAGCTCCTGTCCTAGTGATTGAGGCAAGAAGTTAGTATATATAATGAACATCGAAGAGGATTCTTTTTCACTGAACAGGTTATGTGCTGATTTTTGCTCTCACCTGTTTTTAATATAGTGTTACAAGTGGGCATTAGTCTAGTGTACATAAATGTTTGATGTTTTGTTTTATTGTATATTTAAAGGCTCAACATTTGCCAAAGCCAAACCTGAAATTCCGTGGACATCTCTGACTCGGAAGGGGCTTGTTCGAGTTGTATTTTTTCCCTTTTTCAGCAATTGGTGGATTCAGGTTACCTCTTTAAGAATCTTTGTTTGGCTGCTACTGCTTTACCTCATGCAAGGTAATTGGAGGAGTTGGGATAAACTATGACAGTTTCTTTTTGCCGCTGTTGCTATCAGATCATGCAGACCTTACTGTTCTTACATTTACCCTTTCATTTGATGGTTTCACGTACAAAGAAACGAAGGGACATACACCATTTGGAGATCATCTCAAATTTATTTGCTCAGAGAGAGCAAACATGATTTTCTAACTCTTCTCTCTTGAATTTCTTTCTGCCTGTCTCACTGGCCAGGCCTTTTCAAGCTTTTCCTGTGTCTGACCTTTGAATATTGGGTTACCTCTAGGTTGGATCGGGATTCTCTTCTCTTCTCTAGGTACTCTCATCAAGCCTTGTACCTTTAAATATAATTGATATACTGGTGATTCTCAAATTTATATTTTCGGGCCAGATCTCTCTGCTGAACTTCAGACTTGTAAATACAACTGCCTGTTTGACATTTCCATATGGAGATTCCATAGGTATCTTGAACTTAATCATATCCAAAATGGAACTCCTGATTTTTTTTTTTACAATCTTTTCTTTTATACGGTCTTATTCCCCTTTAGGTTTTATCCCATTTCATTAAATGATGCCATCAGCTACCCAGTTTTCAAGCGAAAAATTGTCTTCCTGTTCTACTCTACCATCAACCCTCATATTCCATCTGTCACCAAGTCTGTAAGTTTGACCTCCAGAATATGTCCTGGCTACTTATCCCAGTCTCTGCTGCCACCATCATAGTCCACAGCACCACCATCCCTTCACCTAGATCACTGGAATAGCATCTACTCAGAGCTTTCTTTCTGCCCATCACTCTTTTCACAGCAATTAGAGAAATCTTTTGAAATGGAAACCCTATCATGTCATTTTCCTGCTTTTTTAAGTCGCTTTGGTGACTTCTCATTGCCCTTGGAATAGAAACCCAAACTCCTCACCAGGGCCTCCAGTGCCCTACATTATCTGTCCCCTGCTAACCTGTCAGATGCCATGTCTTACCACTCTCCTCCTTGCTTACTCTAGGCATAAGGCCTTTTTCTATTCCTCACCCAGGGCTTTTCTTTCTGTTTGAAACAATCGTAAGGCTTTTCATGTGGCTATCTTTTCTGTCATCTTTAGGATCTGTGCTCAGATGTAACTTTCACAGAAAGGCCATCCCTGTCTATACTTTCTAAGTAGTTGTACCACCCCTCAGTCACTGTCACAGGAGTCTGTGTTAATTTCTGTGTTACACGTCACTACCTGATGTTTTTTCTCTTTTCACTATGTGCAGGGGCCCAGTGTATGCTCTTTAATATACTCCATTGCCTACAGGAACACTTTCTGAAAGAGGGCAGCATAGATATGGTTATACCTGAGCAAACAGACATGACTTAGAACAAAGAGTAGGTGAAAGGTGAAGGTTGGGTTAGGGTGAAAGGATTTGGGGTGATTTTTTTGTTTTCTTTTATCTGTGTCAGTTTTTTTGAATTGTTTTCATAACTGTCATTTAGTTGCTGCATAATATTACATCATGTGGACAAACCATCATTTCAAACTATCATTTTAATGTCTGTATGAGTCTATCATAAGGATTTAACGTAAACACTTTTTATAACTGCTTTATAGTCCATTATATAAAAGTACCATAATTTACATAACTCTTCCCATGTAATGAGCATTAAGTTGTTTCTAGTTCTTTCTTAATAATACCATCATGAACAAAATTTTTCAAATTTTGTATTATTTCTTTGGAATTTATTCTCTGGAATAGAATTAACAGATCAAAGAATGTAAACGTTTTAAGGCTTTTAGTGCATATAGTGAAATTGCTGGTGACATAATTCTTTTGGAAAGTAGTGGATTCTGTTTTACCACAATCTTAGCATTATCATAATTCTAAAAATTGTTACCTAATTTGATATACGAAAATTAGTATTTTACTTGTTTAATGTGCATTTCTTTGGTCACTTGTAAGGGTGAAGTTAAATATTTTTCCACATGTTTGTTATTAAAGAATTTCTTACTGAGATAAATTATATATATTAAATTTGCGTGTACACCATGGTCTATTTCTGGACTATATATTCTGCACCATCAGTTTGTCTGGTTATTCTCATATCTGTGTCACATTTCTTTAATTACTGTAGCTATTTAATGAGTAGTAATGTTGAGCAGGACAAGTATTCCTCTATTATTCTGTGTTTTTCAACATTTTCTCTTAGGTGTTCTTACTTGCTTATTCTTTGCAAAATAATTTAGAATTATTTTATCATGATCAAAGACCAAAAAAAAAAAATTGGAATTTGGATTGGAACTCCGTTCTCACCACTCCCCACTACAAAATATAGATATAGATATATTTGGAGGGAATGGGGAGAAAATTGATATATCTTTCCTTTTTAATTAATTAATTTATTTTATTTATTTATTTTTGGCTGCACTGGGTCTTTGCTGCGCACGGGCTTTCTCTAGTTGCGGTGAGCGGGAGCTACCCTTTGTTGTGGTGTGCGGGCTTCTCATTGCGGTGGCTTCTCTTGTTGTGGAGCAGGGGCTCTAGGCACACGGGCTGCAGTAGTTGTAGCATGCGGGCTCAGTAGTTGTGGCTTGCGGGCTCTAGAGCACAGACTCAGTAGTTATGGTGCATGGGCTTAGTTGCTCTGCGGCATGTGGGATCTTCCTGGACCAGGGCTCGAACCTGTGTCCTCTGCATTGGCAGGAGGATTCTTAACGACTGCACCACCAGGGAAGCCTGATATATCTCTCCTTTTAATCAAGTCTTCTGTTATATCTTTCTGTAAAGCTTTGTAGGAATTTTTTTTTCTTATAAGGCCTGCATAGATCTTGTTAAACTCAATATTTTTTTCATTGTGGTAAAATATACATGAAATTTACCATCTTAACTATTTTTAAGTGTACAGTTCAATGACATTAAGTACATTCACATTGTTAGGTAGCCATCACCACCATCTATCTCCAGAACTTTTTTCATTTTTCCAAACTGAAACTCTGTACCCATAAATCAATAACTCTCCAATTACTCCTACCCCCAGCCAACTACTCTTCTACTCTCTGTCTCTATGAATTTGACCACTCTGAGTACCTCATATAAGTGGAATCATACAGTATTTGTCCTTATTTCACTTAGCATAATGTCTTCATCCATTTGTAGCGTGTGTCAGAACTTCCTTCCTGTTTGAGGATGAATAATAATCAACTGTATGTATATACCATGTTTTGTTTAAATGTATCATCCATCAGAGGATGCTTGGGGGCTTCCACATTAAAGAAAAATATTTTATGTTTTTATTTTTGTTGCTGCTGCTGTAGGTATGAGGCTTTTTTTGTTTGTTTTATGTGTTTTAACTGGTGATTGCTGTTACATTTGAAAGCCTTTAGTTTATACTTAAGATTGTTATATAACCAGCCACTTTTTAAACTCTTATTATTTCTAATAGTTTTTCGGTGCTTGTCTCAGATTTTCTAATTATACAACCATATTGTTGGCATAATGAAAAGTTGGTCTCCTCTTTTTTCATACATTTCATTTACTTGTATTGCATTAGTCAGCATTTTCAGAGCAGTGTTAAGTGATAACAGTAAGAGTGATCATAATGTTTTGTTCCTATTCAGAATGTTTTCATTAATATGATGCATGTTGATTTTACTTATATATTCTTTAGTATATGTGCTGCCAAAGCGAGCACTACTTATTTATATTCTTTAGCATTTTAAGGACATATTTTTATATTCCTAGTATTTTAGAAAAGATGGGCATTTAAGATTAATTACAAATCAGGAACAAATGTCTATTTTTATAGAATGCTTTTTCACTACTAGAGTTGGACCAGACTTCACAGGTTAAAGGCACATCCCTTCCCAAGACACCAGCCTTACTTTGGGAGTCCCTAGGGCTACCCTTACTCTGACCAGCTGGCTACAGTTTTGAGAGTCCCCCACTCATTCCCTCAGACTTAATAATTCACTAGAATGACTCAAAGCACTCAGGAAAATGCTGTCGTTATAGTTTTATTGTAGCAGAAGGATACAAATTAGAAGGGGTGCATAGGGCAAAGTCTGGGAGGTCTTCAATCAGGAAGTTTTTGTCGTCCTCAAGGATGTGTTACCCTTCCATCCATGAGGGATAGCAGTATGCACAAGGTATTGCCAACCAGAGAAGCTCACCCAAGCTTTGGTATCCAGAGTTTTTATTGAGGGTTTATTATGTAGGTATGTTTGATTGAGTCACTGGCCAAGGAGTTAAACTCAGTCTTTAGCTCCCATTCCCTCCCCAAAGGTCAGGCTGATACAGTGTGGCTCAAAGCCCCAGCCCTCTAATTCCATAGTTGGTCTTTCTGGTGTGGCTACTCCTATCCTTAGTCATTTTATTGGCATAAACTATCCTCTGTGGTCCAAGGGACCCACCATGAATAACAAAGATACTTCATCATTTGGAAAATTCCAAGGGTTTAGGGTTACCTCCCAGGAATCAGGGACACAGACCTTTTACACAATTGGCAATTGAGATGATACATATGCATGCGATCAAAACTACATCGTATTAAGTTATTAAATTACATCAGTTAAGTCTCAGTCAACGATTCCTTTAGTGCCTAACATGTCTGTGCCAGGTACTCTTCTAGGCTCTGAGAAAGATTTCCTACTAGCATAAACCCTATATGATCTTGGTGAATTATTCTTTTGCTGTATTGTCAAATTTACTTTAATAGTATTTCAGTCATTCATTCAACAAATATTGAGTGCTTACTATGTGCCAGGTACTGATCTAGGTACAGCAGTGAACAAAATAGACAGAAATCCCTGCTTTCATGGTGTTACTTTTTAGAGGTAAATTTATATCCATGTTCACAAGTCAGCAAGGTCTATAGTTTATTGTCTTGGTGCTATTGTTGTTATGTTTGGGTATCAGGGTATTAGGGAATGGAATTAATTTTTCTCCACATAGAAAAGTTTGTATAGCACAAGAATTATCTTTATGTCAAAGTCTGAAAGAACGAATCTGTAAAATTGTATCTGGAAGTTTTGGGAGATAATTTGTGATATCTTTCTGTTTCTTTCATTACTTTTTTCTTTGGACATTTCATCCTCACATACAAAGAGGCAACGTAGCATGACAGTTAAGAGTAAGGACTCCTGGCAGTCCAGTGGTTAGGACTCCATGCTTCCACTGCAAGGGGCATGGGTTCCATCCCTGGTCGGGGAACTAAGATCCTGCATGCCACACCTCGGCCAAAAAAAAAAAAAAAAGAATAAGGATTCTGGAACCTGGCTGCCTTGGTTCAAATCGCAGCTGTGTTAATTGCTACATATAACTCTGGACCCTGGAGAATACTGGGTCTCTGAGCAGAGCAGTACTGCAGAGGGTTATACAGTATCTAGTTGTTTTGTGCTGGAAAGTCTTTCAGAATATCTAGATTGTCATATTTCCAGAAAGGCAGATCCTTTGGACACATCATTCTTCACTTGCTCTGTGATCTAGGGCTTCAGGTTTTCACTCAGCTGATGTGCAGGTGGATTGTATTGTAGAAAATTATGTGCTTTCATCTGTATACTTCTTTAAATGATAGATTTTTAGAGAAATAATCTGTAGAGTTATTAGAATTGTTTTTAAAGATAAGCCCTAATGCTTTCCACTTTGAAATCTCTTCTTTTCAGTTATAGCACTCGTGTTCTATTTTATGATGCCTATTGTGAATGTAAGTGAAGTACTTGGACCCTTGTGCCTTATGTTACTCATGGGAACTGTCCACTGTCAAATTGTGTCTACTCAGATAACAAGGCCATCGGGAAACAATGGAAATCGGAGAAGAAGGTGAGATGAGAAATTATACTTTTGGTTGTGTATGTTCTGGGAGAGGCATTGAAGAACAAAATCTTTGAGTGAATTAATACAAAATCTTCCTCTTTTGCATATATTTTTCATTATTTTTTTGGCTTAAAAAAAACCCCAAATGCTTTACTTTTACTTTTCTCCCTGATGCTTAGAAACCTTGTCATGAACTTTTAATCCAAGGGGGATGGGGGTTTGTCATTCAGTACCGTTGTTTAAAAGGAAAATTCCTATACTGTATTATTCCTTATCAAAATTTACCTTAAATAATGATTTTAATGAAAAACATTCTTCTTCATAATTGTCTCAAAATTTGGTGAAAATTCACTATAAGCAAGGATCTTAGTACATTAGGTTAGTGCTACTAAAATTTTTACCTTTTTTCAATAATATGTAAAAAGAATGGATTTCTAAGTGTTCTAAACTTTTAATAAAGATTTAACTTTTCTACACATTGAATTCATGTCTAGTCTTTATTGATTATGTGCCGTTTTGGGGGTTTGGAACTGTTAAAGGTTTCTTAGATATACATGGTATTATCTTACAAAAGTCATCTTTCTCAGAGTATCTGTAGATTTTTGTTCCCCCAAGGAGTTACTATATAAGGTTTTTTCATTTGGTGCAAAGAATTTCAATATATTTATACTTATTTTTGAATGTTATTTTCAAAACTTTTTTTTTCCAGGAAAGAATATTCCTTGAAAATTCAGTTTAATTGATTTAATGTTTTCTAAGGAAATCAAATATTGTGCTATGTCTCATTGGTATTTACAGGATATATCTTTTCACTGCATAGAATATCAAAAAATTGATCACTTGCTATTATTTTGTGTCCCCATGATTAAATGTGCCAAATGGGTAGATTTCTGGCATCCATATTTAAAGAAATTGTTCATTCTTTCTGTGGTTCCTGAAAAGACTGTTGGTCATACATATGAAAATTTTCCTTCTAGTTATGTTTTTGAATGGCATTTCTATTTATTTAATGAATGAACAAAATGGTAACTTAGCACTTTGTTCTGGAACCTGTTTTTGCCCTTAAGTCAGAAATGTTCCTGTATAATTTATCCTCATTATATGAAGTTCATTATACTTAATTTCAGGTAGTAGTCAGTAGGGATATTCTGAGTAGAGACGGAAAAAGGTCCTGAATAATCTAAAGTTGTTGAAATATTTTTTTTTTAGAAAATTACGAAAAACTGTAAATGGTGATGGGAGCCGAGAAAATGGAAATAACTCCTCTGATAAAGCCAGAGGAATAGAAACTTTGGAATCTGCACCCTTTAATGGTGGTTTTTGGGGGACTCTCTTTGGCAGCAGGTGGGAAGTCTTACATTGGAATTTTTACATGATTTTGTGTTCACATTAGTGTTTACATAGTATATAATCTGATTAGGTTTTAGGAATACACAGTGTAAGCATATTATCATTGTGGTGAGATTTTTAAAGGTTCTGGAATGATGTGCTTATTTGCAATGGCGCCACTGTCTGTCATGTTACCCATTAGTCCAGTAAACTACCATAAAAGTGTCATTCTGCTTGATCTTTAATGGTTTTTTAGACCACAAGATTATGGAAATATAAATACTCTTGAAGGGTAAATATTTTAAGTCATATTGGCCAACATCTTGAGAGAATGAAGAATTTCTAAAAGATGAGGTATTTTTCAGTATGAGAGCTGATTCCTCTTTAGATGTGGGGTGCAGGACAGGAGGCTGGTGTCGATGGGCTGTAGGACAGAAAGGGAAGTGAGTCCAAGACACATTCAACCTCCTTCATGATTTTGTCGGTTGTAGCAGCGCTAGTATGACTTGAAGAAATCCTTATTTTATCATATGTTAATGTTTGTGACTCAAAAGTAAAGTGCTTTTGCAGCTTTGTTTTTGAAGACGAAGTATGTTCACAAATTTTTCTAAAGATAAGTTGACACTCTTTAGTTGAAGTGTTTGAGTTCTTTGTGCTGAACATTGTGCTGGGCACTGGGCATTCCTCTTAGTGATTTTACCGTCTAATTAGGAAGGTAAGAGTAGCAGGTATGATACAGTCACAAAAATGTAAAAATACCATAAATGATATCATGCTGACTAAAGGCCATGCAGTTCAGCAGAAGGAGTGCGTATTCTGGGGTGAAGTAGTCAGCAGGAGTCAGGGAGGAGCTGAGAGTTGCTGGGCTTTGAAGCACAGGAGAGGGGAAGACATTCTATGAAGTGGCACAAACAGGCAATGTGAGGGCGGGGTTGGCATTGCGTTTGAGAGGGAAGACTGTGGACCCACTTCCTTGCAAAATCGAAAAGAACAGGCTTCCTCTCAACTAACTGACCCAAGTCTTTGGAGACTAGAGAGAGAACTGGCTTCCTACGCCCTTAGGCAAGCTAGAAGCCTGAAATGTACAATTTCTGAATCTTCTTGATTTCCAGAATAATATATTGTACTCCTCAGAAGAAAGTGACTTCATGAAAGATATTACTTTCAAAAAACTAACTAGTAATCTTTTTTTCCTTTTTTAAAAATAGGATGAAAAGAGTAAAATTAATATGTAGCAAAGGGACAGAGACTGACAATGACTCAGGTTGTCTGCATCCTATCATCAAGAAAAGACAGTGTCGACCAGAGATTAGAGTGTGGCAAACAAGAGAGAAAGCAAAATTTTCAGACGGAGAAAAGGGATGCAGGGTAAGATTTAGATGAGAGTAAGTATTACAAGGTCTTTTCTTTCCTGTGTAAAATTTTTCTATTCTTAGACTCTGCTAGAAACACAAAATAGGTACTAATAGATTTGTGTCATTTGAAATGTAAAACTACAGGATGTGAAAAGGAGAACATCATGAAGAATAACATGAAGACTGTACCTTATTCTTCTAATTTCTAGGACCAGAACCTGTTATCGCCTCTGCCCCTGGTCCAGCCTTAGTAGGAGACTGGTAGATTCAATAAACAGATTAGTGTAGACGCTGCTGTGTCGTCTTCCAGAGAGGCGGTGATAGTGTGTTAAGGTTTGGGAAACTATTTTCCAGGTTTAGGTATAGATGTTTACGTCTGCTTTACGTCTAAAACTAACAACACTCTTACTTTATAGTCTTGAAATATTTTCTTACTTGTTAGACTGGCATTTACGAATTACAAAAAGCTAATATTTTGGAGCCATTACTGCAACCAAGCCCTATTCTAAGTGCTTTACAAGTAGTAACTCACTTAATTGTTTCAACAACTCTGTGAGATAGGTGCTTTTATTATCATCGCTTTTCAGATGAGGAAATTGAGGCCCAGAGAGATTTAATTACCTACCTACAGTTACATAGCTAATAAGTAGAAGAGCTGTGATTCAGACTTGAGTTTGACTCAAGCCTGTGCTTCTAACCTCTACATAAGACTGCCTCATCATTTAAGCTGTTTAGTTTCAAGAAAGTTTAATATTTTTCTTTATTGAGACCAACTAATAGGTAGGTTTGTTCAGTTTTGGTTTGGTTTACTTTTACTGCTTCTTAGTTTTTATACATAGGCTAACTGGAGTTTTTGGGCTGTCCCCTGTGAGGAAACTGCTCTTCTCTTTGTAGGAGCCGTTTGGGCGTTTGGGCAATGGGATTTCAGATGATCTGTCAAGTGAGGATGATGGTGAAGCCCGGACACAGATGATGACACTGCGGAGGAGCGTGGAAGGGGCCTCAAGTGACAACGGCTGTGAAGTTAAGAATAGGAAATCAGTACTTTCAAGGCACCTAAACACTCAGGTAATTTTTATTTTAGCTTATAAAAGTATAGGCATTAACTCCCAAGTCACAAGGTATTTAACACGTTTTCCTGTCGTGTGTTGGCAGGTAAAGAAGACCACTTCCAAGTGGTGTCCCGTTGTGCGGGATTCAGATAGTCTGGCTGAATCAGAGTTTGAATCGGCAGCCTTCAGTCAGGTAACCTATCCCTTTTCAAGGCGTATTCTTGAGTGTAATAACTGTATCCATTCCTTTGTTTATTGGTTGTCCTAAAGTTGTGTGTATATTTGCCTGCCCCTCCCCTGCCCCCAACTATGTGTCTACCTATCTAGAAGCTTTTACATGACTGCTCACCCCCAGAAAGAGAACGAGCTCTTTGTCTTTGATCTAATCTTAAAAGTATCGTAGATGATGCCCAGAGAGAGACTCCTCAATCCCTAGATGATGAGAAGGCTACTTAATATTCACTTGGAATATGCAGTTTATTCTTAAGCATTGTTCCTTTGTAAATGGCATTGGTGCTGATGGGGACAGATATTTGAGAAAGGACCCCTGAGAGATGGGAGCAGTAAATCTCATCATGAAAGCTAATGGGAATATTGTACATTTGGGACATTATAATTCAGAGGTGAGGAGAGTAGATGGTGGTGGCTTTTGTTTTGTTTGACAAGGCAGCTGGGGTTGTGGAAAAACTTTCACATCTATGTTTGTACCGCAGGAGAGCTGCAATGTCCATCCTTTTCTCAGCCTGATTACGCTTTTCCCTGTGTGGCTGGGCCCCGGACGTGACTCGGTCTACAGTCAAGCTCACAACATTTAGAGTAGAGGACACTTGGGTGTGTCAGTAGGCCCAGCCACACCTGCACCCAGAGTGGGCCCTTGGATGTGCTTGCAGAGTCACCCCATCCCAGGGCACCTCACTTGAACAACCCCATGACTTGGCAATAAATTCTCAGAGGGAGTCCTCTTTGATAGTCTGTTAGAGAGTCATCAGAGTTTCACATTTAACCATGAAAATGTGTTATTGTTATGTGAAGCCTTGTCAACATAGTGATCAGTGTGTGAAAGCTTGCCAGCCATCACCATAGGTAACTTGTTTTCATTTTATTTCAAATATATAGTTGTTTTGTTTTTGAAATATAGGTAAATATTTTATTATAAAATACCTTTTAGGGCTTCCCTGGTGGCTCAGTGGTTGAGAGTCCGCTTGCCGATGCAGGGGACACGGGTTCGTGCCCCGGTCCGGGAAGGTCCCACGTGCCTCAGAGCGGCTGGGCCCGTGAGCCATGGCCGCTGAGCCTGCGCGTCCGGAGCCTGTGCTCTGCAATGGGAGAGGCCACAACAGTGAGAGGCCTGCGTACTGCAAAAAAAAAAAACAACACCTTTTACTGCAACAATATGGATGAATTTCAGAAATATAATGTTGTAGAAGTAGTCAAACATAAAAAATAGCTATTTTCAGATTTCACCTCTAACAATGTACAAAATTGAAGTTAATCTATGCTCTTAGTAGTCATAATGGTTGTTTTCCTTGAAAGGGAATAGCACAGAAACAGGGGCAGGAGAGCTAGTAATGCTTTGCTCATTGGTTTTGGTGCTGATTACACAGACATGTTTCAGTTGTGAAAAATTTATCAACCTATAAACTTATGCACACATATTTAAGAACGCTGTCTTTCAAAAACTGTTAAAATAAAAACATATTCATCTAAAACACAGAAATCACAATGAAAAAAACTAAAAAAAAAAAATTAATTTCATGACCCAAAAACTGTCACTTCATTTTTTAAAAAATTTTAAGGCTTTACAGATTTTGTAGTTATAAAATTAATGTAAGGATGTTATAAAAATTCAAATGAAGAAGTATATTTAGTAAAAAGCAACCATTTCCACTTCCTGCCTCCCTTCCCAGTATAATGAATCCCTCACTGTTCCCCACATCCCCAGGTTGAATCCATGCTGTCCAGAGGGTGATTATAGTTCCACATATTTATTTTCCTTTGCGTAAGAGAGCATACTATATATTTAAACATATAACGTATCATTTAAAAAACATAAATAGGAAAATTTGTTCTGAGTGTTTTTTTTTTTTATCTTGTAGGGCTTGCCTTATCAGTACATAAGACAATACTTCATTCTGTTGAACATCTGCAGAATATTCCAGTTTATGAAGGAATTTATTAAAATGTGTAAAATTATGACTACTTAATTTGTTTCCAGTTTTTCATTATTAAAAGCAATTCAGAAAAATCCTTGTAGATAGATGGGTTTATCCACTCAGGTTGCCATAACAGAATACCACAGGCTGGGTAGCTTAAACAACAGAAATTTTATATAGTTGTTTTTAAAAAGGAATATAAAAAAAATTTGTTTTTGTTTTCCCTTAAAGGGCTGTAGATCTGGCATGAGTGGTGGCTCTCGAAGCCTCAACATGTTGAGAAGAGACTCGGAGAGCACCCGTCATGACTCGGAGACAGAGGATATGTTATGGGATGACCTGCTGCATGGCCCTGAGTGCCGGTCGTCTGTCACCAGCGACAGTGAGGGGGCCCACATGAACTCCCTTCACTCAGGGACCAAACGTGACCCCAAAGAAGATGTTTTTCAGCAGGTCTGTAAAGGTGATGATAATAATAGCTGATGTTTACTGTGTACTTACCATGTGCCAGGCACTGTATTATCTCATTTAACTCTACAATAACCCTGTAAGGTGGACACTATTATTATCCCTGATTTAGAGATGAGGAAATTGAGCATAGTTTGTAAGTGAAGATATTGGAATTAGAACTAAGGGGGAAGCACTCTTGAATTCCCCTAACCTAAATGTTTCTTCCTAGGACTTTTTCTCATTATTTTCCTTAGAATGATCCTTAATGTTCATTTTATATGAGCAGGGTACATTGTTTGGCGCAGTAACCTGATATTATATTTTCATAGACATAACAGTATTATATATGAATTACTAGGAGATGGCATTGCTTGCTTCTCTAATAACGTATAAAGCAAGTGATGCTTTTAATTTTAGTTTTTCTGTTAATATCATAAAATCAGATATCCTGGAAATGGGGATTCTTTAGAAGGTTATTTCAACCTTACAATCAATATAGGAATTCATTCTACATCTGCAGAAATTTTTTTGACTCTGCTTTAGAAATTTTTTACTAATAATTCTTTTATGTAGTAACAATAGTTCCTACTTCTTAGAAATATTGTGATATATCTAATGAGATAATACGAAGTGCTTAGCACAATGCTTGGCAAAGTGTAGGCACCCAATACATGTTAGCATGGTTATTACTATCCACATGAGACAATCAGTTAGTCTCTGCTTAAATACTTGTGGAGCTGGAGTGATTGTTAATTTCATGAGCTTTTTCCACTGCTGGATAAATTAAATGATTAAGAAACGGTTCTCATATCAGCCTTTCATATGTTTAATGCCAACGATCATGATTCTTCTTAGTTTTATTTTTTTTAGGCTAAATATTTCCACAATGACTTAATAAATAGTGGATGATGGATATTCATTTGTTTATTGAATTTTCTTGATTCTAAGATACCATTGATTTAGGTTACACATTTTAATGAAAAAAATTCTGCTTCATTAAATGTATACAGTTTTCAAAAACTAACTAGAAACAACATACATTTTATTATTAAAGTTTTAAGCTTTTTCCTCCAATTTTGCTATCAAAGTTTGTATCTAAATATTCTTTGCATTCAGTCTGAAGACTCATCTAAATTACCTTAGCCCTTGGTAATTATGAATAGCATCATGATGATTTTCACCTCCTTTGCACTTTTGGGATTTATAGGATAATTTTAAGGCATATGTAAGAATAACTAGGTAAGATGAAACTCACTATGTTAAACGGAATTCATCATTTCCCAATTCTCCCACCTAACCTATTCTTTTATTCCCCATATTTCTAAATGTCACCACTAACCGCCCACGTTAGAAACCTTGGTGCCATTCTTGACCCCGCCCCCCATGTTTCCAATCAGTCATCACATTGTCTTGATTCTGCTGTATAATACATACATCTGCCCACCTGTGTCCACACTGCTTGGTGCAGACCGCCATCAGCCCTCGTCTGGACCCTTACAACAGCTTCTCTAGGCTTGCTCTGCTTCATTTCATTTTCCACACTGCAGCCAGAATGATCCTTCTAAAATACAAATCTGATGCCATTCCCCTTACAGTCCTTCAATTGCTTTTTTTTGTTTCCATTCTGGATTATTTCTTTCTGTTCCTTTATTTGCTCTGATAACAGTCTTGCATGGTATAGTTTAACTCAACTAAACTTCTTTCAGTTTCCTCATGTACTTCTGGATCTTTACACAAACTGGTTTATTTGCCTGGAACACACTTTTCTCCAATACCTATTCCTTCGTCTCACTCTTTTTTACTTTTCGGGTCTTGGCTTGAGTGATGCTCCCTTAGGAAGCCTTTTCTATATGCTCCTAAAGCATTCTTTCCTTCCCTTATCATGCTGCACAGTAACTTTATTTAATCATGTCTCCATAAGTCTGTATGCTCTGTGATGTCAAGGACTACATCTGTCTTGTTCTTTATTATATCCATCGTACATGTTACATAGTAGCTGCTTAATATTTTTTTGGCTAAATCAATTAATAAATCCATAAATGTGCATTAGCATTATGCTAAGCATTATTGTAGAAGGAGAAGAAATACACCAGATGGTTGTTTTTTAGTAACTTATATATTTGTTTGGGAACAAGATGATTTTATGGGAAATAGAGGACACAATAAAAGCAGCGTATAATTAGATGCAAATTTATCTGATATAGACTGTAAGTGTTTTTGATTTCAGAGAAAGGTAACGTGAGTGAGGCTTGTGGCCATCAGAGAGGACATGTTGGTGAAATGGGACTTGAGTTGGTACTCGAAGAATAAGACATGATACGGCAGAGGAAAATACAGGGCTGTTTCTATCTCGACCTTTTCCTCCTGAGCTTACTATGTTTTCTGTGTCCTGATTAGACCAGAGAAAGGTTTACCTTCTCAGTCATTCCTGTGATGTTAAGGCCTGTTAGTACCTCTCGTGTGTAACTTCCTACTGTCCCTGGTCTAGTCATGATGCTGTAGAAATGCTTTCCTTCTTGATATCCCATTAATACACCAAGCTTATCCTCACTTCCATACATTTAGTAGGGAAGCAGCCTTGGAGATCATGTAATCCTACCTCCCATCATTATAGGAGACACTTAGCCTCTCTCCAGGTAAGAAATTGTTTTTGTGAAAAAAAACCAAAAAAACAAAAACCAGAAACCAGCATCATGGAGGTGGTAATTGGAATGATGAGCTTTGTGAGGGGGAGAATAGGATGACAAGGCCGAACCCTGGCACATGTGGCCCAGGAGCTAGACAAAGGGAAAAAAATACAACGGAGGAAATAAAGAAGGAGTGGATGGAAATATTTATTTTTTCTTCTCAGAACCATTTATTCTGGCTTCAGAACTCAAGTCCTGCCTCTGATCGAGTTAGTGCAATAATCTGGGAAGGGAATGAGTGCAAAAAGATGGATATGTCTGTGTTGGAAATAAGTGGTATCATCATGAGCAGGGTAAGGTTTAATACGTTTTTGGATTTTTAGAAAAATCTATTTAATGATCAGCAGCTATTTCATAGAATGTATTTAATGATCAAAACGTTGACTCTGCTTTTGAAACACAAGTATGTGTATCTTAAATTTTGTAGTCAGTCTTCACTAGGTAGTATATTTTTTTATTTGTTACAGAGGTCTCTGTGAGCATGATCAGGTAGACTCTACAAATATTCCTTATCTCATTCAAGCCTAAAAGTCATAAATCTGTACATCATTTTTATTTGTATTTCTTTTAGATTTAAAGCAGATTTAGTTTTTAATAATCTAAATAGTATTTGATAAATACTGCTTCACAACTCCATTTAGCTGTGCAGTAATGATGGATATTTTAAATTAATTCCCAGGTTAATGCGTATCAGCAAGGAGTAGGTTATCAGATGCTGGGAAATGTCGTCACCATTGGATTAGCATTTTTCCCTTTTTTACATCGACTGTTCCGAGAGAAGAGCCTTGACCAGCTAAAGTCCATCTCAGCTGAGGAGATCTTGACTCTCTTTTGTGGGGCACCACCTGTTGCACCTATTATTATCTTGTCTATAATTAATTTTTTTGAACGACTGTGTCTTACTTGGATGTTTTTTTTCATGATGTGTGTGGCGGAGAGAACATACAAACAGGTCGGTTGACAAGTAAAATTTCTTACCTCTGCTTTTGTATATGGTATTCTGTTGAGTTGCTTTTGTTCCCCTGATTTGTTCTGTCTCCAGAAGTTAACGTGGGCAATGGAGGCTTGATAAGTGAACTTTTGGTATTTGTGGGTTTAACACTTGTGATACTGATTATTCACAAATGACATGCTGTAATCTGAAATTTTGCTGAGCCTACTTGCAGGAATAAGTGGCTGAGCCAGTGAGTGAGCCTAGCTGATTGCTTAGCACCTGCACCTCAATGTGCCCTTGATGTTTTGTGTATGTAGCATATGTAGTAATTACCAAAGTGAAAATGTTTCTGTGAAAAATGGCCAAGTGAGAAATAAACTTACTGAAATTTGATAAGAGTTTGGGATTGAGGGCTTAATGTATTGATGATATGTGCAAAAAATGTGGTTTTTAATGGAAATGTAATTTGGGAGTAAGCTAGAATTTTGTATAAACGTTTGAGTTTGTGAAGGTGGGGATTCACAAAGGTCTCCAAGGTATATTCCTTGAAAATGTCAAGAGTGTAGCATGTTGTGAAGAAGTATATTACTACATAATGTGCTTTGCAAGCGACAGGTTAATGAGCTATTAACAATGTTTTTTCACTGCCTGTCTTAGCGACCACTGATTAGAACTTGATCCTTTTAATATTTTTTATATGCTGGGAATATTGTTTACAATTATGTAAATATACACACAGTGACACGTGTATGTTTCACTTTGTGTTTTTTTTTTTTTAACCTCCTCTAGAGATTTTTATTTGCAAAACTCTTCAGCCATATTACTTCTGCCAGGAAAGCTAGGAAATATGAAATACCTCATTTCAGACTTAAAAAGGTGGAGAACATTAAGATATGGTTATCACTGCGTTCCTTTCTAAAGGTGAGTTTTAGCTGACTAACCATGGAATATCTGCAATGATACGCAGAGAACATGCTCACTGAAATTTCTGGTGGCAGATACTCAGTAGGCAGGGTAGTTCTATGTACTGGACAGATAATCAGTGGCTGACAGACTTGCTGGACACCAGGTTGGGAGTGATCTATCTGCAGAGCTGGTAGAGCTAAGTAAATAAGACCTTAGAAAGGGAAAAGAAAATTTAAATTCCTAGGGCAGAGTGATAAATTGAATGTCTCATGTTTTTCTGACTTTTGGGGGGAATATTCCAGCTGAAAATATGTTCATGAATCAATCACACCCTTAATTTGAATGGCATGGATCTCAGAGCTTAATTAAAGTCAAATATGTCCAAAATATACTAAAATCCTGTGTCAGAAACGTCTTATAAATGTTCATTTTCACGCCAATATAGTAAGATTGGGAGTGTGAATGACCTGAGGGCTGTTGCCGTCTCCGGCGGTGACCTAAAACACTAACCTACGCATCTCACTCCACAGAGACGGGGCCCGCAGCGATCAGTGGATGTGGTTGTGTCTTCTGTCTTCCTACTGACACTTTCCATTGCTTTCATTTGTTGTGCCCAGGTAAGAGTTTCAGATCTATTTCAGTGGAAAATGGAAAATAGAGCTCACTTGCTGTTTTAAATCAGTTCACCGTGTTTAAGTGTGTGTGTGTGTGTGTGTGTGTGTGTGTGTGTGTGTGTGTGTATGTATAGACAATGGACATTTGTATCTCACAGCTCTGGGAACTGGGGAGTCCAAGGTCAAGGTGCCAGCATGGTTATGTTGAAGTATATATATTTTTAATGTGTCTACATTTCTTTTGCTAGTTTGAATACTTGTTAATTTTTCTAACTTTTTTTTTTAATTTTTAAAAATGTTTATTTTATTTTATTTATTTATTTTTGGCTGTGTTGGGTCTTCGTTGCTGCGTGCGGGCTTTCTCTATTTGTGGCAAGTGGGAGCTACTCTTGGTTGTGGTGCGTGGGCTGCTTATTGCAGTGGCTTCTCTTGTTGCAGAGCATGGGCTCTAGGAGTGCGGGCTTCAGTAGTTGCAGCACGTGGGCTCAGTAGTTGTGGCTTGCAGGCTCTAGAGTGCAGGCTCAGTAGTTGTGGCACACAGGCTTAGTTGCTCCGTGGCATGTGGGATCTTCCTGGACCAAGGATCAGATCCATGTCCCCTGCATCGGCAGGTGGATTCTTAACCAATGCACCACCAGGGAAGTCCTCTTCTAACTTTTGAAGTGAGAATAAAGATAATTTTTAGTCCTTTAAGACTCTAAGAGCATGGTAATTTAATTTTAATTGGCAATTTTTGATTGTTAATAAAGCTATATACCACTATGGATACAAAATGGTGATTTTCCAACTCCATCGTTTCTTCTAATTTTATTAGTTGTCACTCTAAAGTAGACTTTTTCTTTTTTCCCATTTATTCATTCATTCATTTACTACGCTATGGACTCCTGTGTTCTTATTTTTATCCAGTGGATTATAAACTATTACTATGTTTTGATTCCTAAATTGTCCCAGATTTGGCCAGTGGGAGACCCTTAAAGCCCCTTCCTGTGTTCTTTTGACAGGTCCCTGTATCTTTATTTATTTATTTATTTTGGTACTTCTGTGTTTTCTTTATTACAAGAAGTTACAGCCTTATCCTGTACTTTTCCATTGATTGAATTTTAACTTAATTCTGCTATGGTCAGAAAACATGCTCTGAATGTTTTCAGTCCTTTGAAATATGTAGAATTGCTTTATTATCCAGTATATGGTCAGTTTTATTAAATCTTCCATCAGCACTTTGAAAGAATTTGTATCCCACTGTTTTGGAGAGCAGCGTTCTCTCTATATAAATTAGTCCAAGTTTATTAGTTGTATTGCTGAAACTTCCTGTGTCCCTACTCATCTTTTTGGTTTGCTTATTCTGTCAGCCACTGAGAGAGGTGTGGTCAAGCCTGCTCCAATGGTGGATTTATCTTTTTCTCCTTTTATTTCTGTCAATTTTTGCTTTATATGTTTTTAAACAGTGTAACTGGGTGCATACAGGTTTAGAATTGTTATCCATCTCCTTGGTGGATAGACGTCCTTTATAGTTATTTTTTTTCTCAATCCAGGATCAGTTATTACATTTAGCTGTTATGTCTCTTTAATCTTCTTTAATCCTAAACAGTGTCAGGCTTTCTTTACCTTTCATGACCTTATAAAATGTCTCTATTTCTAATGTTTCTTAACTTAAAGTCTACTCTATTTGATATTAATTTAACTACACCATCTGTGTTTTGATTAGTTTTTGTATGTAATATCTTTGTCTACCCTTTTTCATTTATTTTGTCTTTGTATAGTTCTATCTCTTATAATCAGCATATCCTTTTTTGGTTGCTTGTTTCTTTTTCTTTTTTTTTTTTTTGCTGTTAAACTATCAAAGTGCTTTAATATCTTTAGTGATATCTTTTTTTCAATGCTGAAAGGTTATTTTATTAATTTATTTTGGTAACAGATCTGTATTTATTACAAAATATATTTTCTTTTTGAGCTTTTCCCCTTTCTCTCTCTCTCTTTTTTATTGAAGTATAGTTGATTAACAATGTTGTGTTAGTTTCAGGTATACAGCAAAGTGATTGAGTTATACACATATATGAATATATATTATTTTCAGATTCTTTTCCCTTATAGGTTACTATAAAATATTGAGTATAGCTCCCTGTGATATATATACCGTATCTTCTTTATCCATTCATCTGTCGATGGACATTTAGGTTGCTTCCATGTCTTGACTGTTGTAAATAGTGCTGCAATGAACATTGGGGTGCGTGTATCTTTTTGAATTATAGTTTTGTCTGGATATATGCCCAGGACTGGGATTGCAGGATCATATGGTAACTATTTTTAGTTTTTTAAAGAACCTCCATACTGTTCTCCATAGTGGCTGTATCAATTTACATTCCCACCAACAGTGCAAGAGGGTTCCCTTTTCTCCACACCCTCTCCACCATTTATTATTTGTAGACTTTTTCATCATGGTCATTCTGACTGGAGTGAGGTGATACCTCATTGTAGATTTAATTTACATTTCTCTAATAATTAGTGATGTTGACCATCTTTTCATGGGCCTTTTGGCCATCTGTATGTCTTTTTTGGAGAAATGTCTACTTAGATCTTCTGCCCACTTTTTTATTGGGCTGTTTGGTTTATTGTTATTCAGTTGTTTGTATATTTTGGAAATTAATCCCTTGTCAGTCTCATCATTTACAAATATTTTCTCCCATTATATAGGTTGTCTTTTTGTTTTGTTTAAGGTTTCCTTTGCTGTGCAAAAGCTTTTAACTTTAATTAGGTCCCATTTGTTTATTTTTGTTTTTATTTCCATTTCTCTAGGAGGTGGGTCAAAAAAGATCTTGCTGTGATTTATGTCAAAGAGTGTTCTGCCCATGTTTTCCTGTAGAAGTTTTATAGTATCCAGTCCTATGTTTAGGTCTTTAATCCATTTTGAATTTATTTTTGTATATGATGTTAGAGAAGTGTTCTAATTTCATTCTTTTACATGTAGCTGTCCAGTTTTCCCAGCACCACTTATTGAAGAGGCTGTCTCTTCTCCATTGTATATTCTTGCCTCCTTTGTCATAGATTAGGTGACCATAGGTGCATGGGTTTATCTCTCGGCTTTCTATCCTGTTCCACTGATCTATATTTCTGTTTCTGTGCCAGTACCATACTGTTTTGATGAATGTAGCTTTGTAGTATAATCTGAAGTCAGGGAGCCTGATTCCTCCAGCTTTGTTTTTCTTTCTCAAAATTGCTTTGGCTATTCGGGGTGTTTTGTGTTTCCATACAAATTAAAAATTTTTTTGTTCTAGTTCTGTGAAAAATGCCATTGGTAATTTGATGGGGATTGCACTGATTCTGTAGATTGCCTTGAGTAGTATGATTATATTAACAATATTAATTTTTCTAGCCTAAGAAACCAGTATATATATATATATCTTTCCATCTGTTTGTGTCTTCTTCAGTTTCTTTCATCAGTGTCTTATAGTTTTTGGAGTACAGGTATTTAGCCCCCTTAGGTAGGTTTATTCCTAGGTATTTTATTCTTTTTGATGCAGTGGTAAATGGGATTGTTTACTTAATTTCTCTTTCTGATCTTTTGTTGTTAGTGTGTAGAAATGCAACAGATTTCTGTGTATTAATTTTGTATTCTGCAACTTTACCGAATTCATTGATGAACTCTAGTAGTTTTCTGGTAGTGTCTTCAGGATTTTCTATGTATAGTATCATGTCATCTGCAAACAGTGACACTTTTACTTCTTCCTGTCCAATTTAGATTCCTTTTATATCTTTTTCTTCTCTGAATGCTGTGACTAGGACTTCCTAGACTATATTGAATATAAGAGGTGAGATTGAGCACCCTTGTCTTGTTCCTGATTTTAGAGGAAATGTCTTCAACTTTTCACTGTTGAGTATGATGTTAGCTGTGGGTTTGTCATATATGGCCTTTATTATGTTGAGGTATGTTCCCTCCATGCCCACTTTCTACAGGGTTTTTAATCACTAGTGCATGTTAAATGTTGTCAAATGCTTTTTCGGCATCTATTGATCATGTGGTTTTTATTCTTCAAATTGTTAATGTGGTGTATCACACTGATTGATTTGTGGATATTGAAAACTCCTTGCATCCCTGGGATAAATCCCACTTGATCATTTAATGTATTGTTGGATTCAGTTTGCTAGTATTTTGTTGAGGATTTTGCATCTATGTTTATCAATGATATTGGCCTGATTTTCCTTTTTGTGATACCTTTGTCTGTTCTTGGTATCAGGGTGATGATGGCTTCATAGAATGAGTTTGGAAGTGTTCCTTCCTCTGCAATTTTGGGAATAGTTTCAGAAGTGTAGGTATTATCTCCTCTCTAAATGTTTGGTAGAATTTGCCTGTGAAGCTATCTGGTCCTAAACTTTTGTTTTCTGGGAGTTTTAAAATCACAGATTCTATTTCAGTACTTGTGATCAGTCTGTTCATATTTTCTATTTCTTCTGGTTCAGTCTTGGTAGATTGTACCTTTCTAAGAATTTGTCCATTTCTTCTAGGTTGTCCATTTTATTGGTATATAGTTGCTTGGAGTAGTCTCTCATTTCTAATTTATTGATTTGGGCCCTGTTCCTTTTTTTCTTGATGAGTCTGGCTAAAGGTTTATCAATTGTGTTTATGTTTTCTAGGAACCAGTTTTTGTTAATAGTTTTATCGATGTTTCCTGTTGTTCTCTTAGTCTCTATTTCATTTATTTCTGCTCTGATCTTAATGATTCCTTTACTTCTACTAACTTTGGATTTTGTTTTTTCTTCTTTCTCTAGTTGCTTTAGGTGTAAGGTTAGGTGGTTTATTTGAGATTTTTCTTGTTTCCTAAGGTAAGCTTGTATTGCTGTAAACTTACCTCTTCGAACTGCTTTTGCTGTGTCCCATAGGTTTTGGATCATCATGTTTTCAGTTTCATTTGTCTCTAGCTATTTTTTTTTAATTTCCTCTTTGATTTCTTCAGTGTTGTTTAATAGCATATTATTTAGCCTGCATGTGTTCATGTTTTTTTCTTGCA